TCATTTTAATTTTTATCATTAGATGATCACTTCCCAAGTTGTCATTCAATACTCGCCAAGAAAAATAAATAGCTATGTCAGAGGAAGAAAAGGTGATATCGGGAGACGACTGTTGTAAATAGTTATTAACATACCTTATCCGAGTGTCACTACCATCGTTAATAGATATATATCCGTATTCTAGCGCTGAGTCCATAATTTGATTGCCTCTTCCATCAGTTTTATAGGACCAGTTTGAATGATGTCCATTAAAGTCCCCAGCTATAAGGGTTTTGTGAGAGCACAATGAAAAGATCTCATCCCAATCATATTGCCTAGTAGGGATAGAGGATGGGCAATAGACAGATATTATATTTTCCAGATGTTTACAATTTTTTATATTTACATGCAATATTTCAATGCCAGTATTATTGATGCTAGATAATTTTAATTCAGAAATAATGGATGTATGTACCATGATTGCTACCCCACCATACCCATCAACTCGGTCTTTTCTATAGATGTTATATTGGGATATATTTAGACAACTATCTTGTTCTAACCATGTCTCACAGATTATAGCTATGTGTATTTGTTCCTTAAACAACAGAGACTCAAATTCAGTGATTTTAGGTCTAATACTTTGCGAATTCCACTGCAGTATATTAAGAGCAAAGTTACGTAATTTGCTAGATGACATTATTAAAAAGAGAGAATACTTTCTTCAACAAGTCGGCCTCTCTTGCAAAGTCTAATACAGCTTGAATAATTTCTCCAAGGAGAACGCTGACTACTGACTTGATCTTAGTAGCAATACTTGACCTGGAGAAGTAAATTTCTTTCAATTTATCCATTAGCTTTCTCAAATGGAATGTATTTGTAAATGTGTCCTTCCGTTGCTTTTCTGTACTTTCATTCTTATTTGAAGTGGACTGCTCTTCTTCACGGACCTCGTTTTGTTTATATTGTCTCTTTTGTCTAATATTAGTTAATTTGACAGGTTGTTTAGCAGATTGAAAGTTTGTAGGGTCGTCCATAGAAATATCTCGGCTCATTTCCCCAGTCTCATAGGATTTGAGTATTGATTCTGTTCCCTCTGTATCATTTCGAGTTTGTGTCAACAACACATCTCTGTATGTCTTTCCTTTGTCACCTGAAAGTGAGGCTTGGCTTGTTGGATATATATTATTTTCTATGCTCGTTGGGTTCCTCATATTTACCATGTTAGTGGGTTCACTATCATGTTGATGCTTGTTTTTATTTAGATATAACATTAAAGCTCTTCTGTATGTGCAGTTTTCTTCACACATAGTTTGTCGAATGGCTTTTTCTTTTTTGAAAACAGGGCACAATTTACTCATAGACATGTGCGGACCCTTGCAATTTATGCATTTAAAGATATCGGTTTCACAATTGATGTGGTTTCCTCCACATTTTGGACACAATAGCTTTTTAGTTGGACAAGCCTTACTCAGATGTCCAAACCTCCAACATCCCGAACATTGACTAACGGGAAAAGTGTATGGGTCCACCTTAAATCTGCACCCGTATATTAATAAATACGGGGGTAAGGTGGAACTTTTAAAACCAACGCGTATTGTCTCACTTTCTATCCATTCTCCACTATCCAATTGTCTTTTCAATCTCTTGGCAGACACCACTTCTTTTTCACATTCAATACTCTCTAGAAACTCCTTCTCTTCTATTTCTAAGTCAATTTGTTTCACGACTCCATATGATAGGCTAACTTCATCTATGAATTGGCATTTATAGTTCAGACTGTGAAATTTACTGCAATTAATAAGACTCTGCGCATCTTTTCTGTCTTCAAATTCTATAAGTGTTTTATACGGATTCTTGTATTTTATTTTTAAGATATTGTTAATGTTTTCCGCTCTTAACAATTTCGCCATGCCAAAAGGCTTGGGTAAATTCTCTTTTGATGTAACACACACTATTGCATTCTCATTAATTGTTGATTTTCCTGTACTCACGTTCTCCCCTTTATTAGTAGTCATTGACAAACTTCTGGTTAGCCTTTTACTGTTATTTCGCACTGTAATAAACCCTTCATCATCTTCTATTATTTCTTCGTTATCAGACCGTACTCTTTTCTCTGGCTTTTCAGCAGAAATTTGTGAATTCTCAATACGTGGGTCACTAAAGCGAATTTTGGCACATATATCCTTCGATCCACCATCTTTACCTAGTTGCTCACACCCATGCACCATCTCTTCTTCAGCTACATCACTTCCACTCGAATCACAAAAGTCTATGTTATCCATTATCGTAGACCATTAACAAATACAATGTGGAGGTAGATAGAAAACAAAAAGTTCGCTCGAACACACTCAGCCACTAATGTGCGCGCGCTCACCACGGCGATTCACGCGAGACTGTTTATACCACCCTATTTGAAAGTTTTGAGTGCAATCGGAACATAGGCCCATGGAGAGGTAAATATCAATCCAAGTGGCCTGTTGCCTTAGCTTCTTGTTTTCGAGCATTGATCTGGCTCATGGCTTTCTACTGAATTTTCAGCTGATTTAACTCACGTCTGCTATTCAACTCGTTAAACCTAAAAAATACATAAAATGAATGTAAATATGATAAAATGTAGCTATGTTTAGCCAAATAACTGTACAGCATTATGTGATTCAGATACTATAGGTTAACATAGTATACACTGCCCACATATTCGGCTGCATCTGCATGCTTATTATCTCTGAACAAAGATCTGAACAAATGGAATAAAATAAAAATGTTGAAAAAATCTTACCTTGTATAGGGTATATTTATAATATTTCCTCCCACTCTTTTATCTTGATTGTGTTGGTGTTTGTACTTAACGATTTATTTTCAATGATTTGAAAATATTATTTTGGAACCGAGGCGTTATAATTTTATGGCTGAAATCTAAAAATATATAAACAATATGAAGACATTTTTTCTTTGTTAAGATACGCCATAATTAACAGGCATCGGGCACAGGCAAAAGGTAAATACCTTTTGTTCTTTGCGCTAGTTAATAGCGCGGCTGTGCTTTTCGCTCGTTTTTCCTTATTTATAAATTGAATTGTATATTAATTATGTAAGTAAACAAATTAATAATTTTTCGACAAAACTGACAGCGACAGCAACTTGTCAAGATGTCAAGCTAACATACATCTGTCAATAAAGCAGTGATTTCATAGGTTTCATACGATTTCTCACCTCCTTCTCAGTCTTTTTACTTTTAAAATTTCTGGGTTACCATAATAAAAGGATTAAACCTAGTATAAGGATAGTATTGTTATTCTGAGGTTATTCCATGTTTATTAATAGGAATTCAATTCTGAAGTTAATACTTTGTTAGTCCGGTATTAGCTAGTCCAAGACTAACCTGTGAATAAGTTTGGAATAGGAGATTTTTATTAATAAGACCGTATATGTATAGGCATTTGTTATATTTTGGAATATAATAATATTGTATATGATGTATGACACATGTCTACATTATTAAAAAATATATCACTGATGGCATTCATTTTATTACGATTAAGCTTATTATTAATTAGCCTTGTACGGTGCGCGTGAAGTCCTTCTCTATACAAAAGGAAATGGAAAGAGTACCTTTTAAGATGCAGAACCTTTTAATCAACGTATATAACTGTTGATTAAACCACTATACATTCATTAATCTATCTGTACATCCCACGGGATGAGTACAGATACTTAAAAATGATTTCTACTATACCATTACTATAAAGTTCAATTTCCAACAACATTATACAATCAAACTAGTTCTATTACTATACCTACTTACTTTTAACAAGTTTAGAAATCCTCAATTACAAAGTAAATCTTTAATCATTATTTATTCAATACGTAAAATACACAACATATTTTCTAACAAAGAAACTAAACACATCCCTGCACAATATAGTAGAAATAATAATAAAATTTTCATTTGTCTAGCAATAAGATTACAGTGAAGTCATATCGCAACGGAATTCAGTTCAAACGACGTATAACCTTCGTCTTAAGCTGGTTGGTATTTCTATTGTCAGCTATTACAATACAAACATGATATTGTATATTGTATAGAAAATATTACACTCGCATACCATGACGATATGCTCAGTCAGTTGGTTGTTGTTATAGAAAATAGAGAAATATTCTAAAATGGTTTCGACATTTATACATCTATACAGATAAATAAAATTGGAGTAATCTGTTCATAATATTAAAATAAATTACCGCTTTTTACTACATGCGTATGCATATACTTACGATACACATATTAAAATCATATTTATTCACAATTTTTTACCGGTCTGTCTGTGTGTACCGATTAATCTCTGAAATAGCTGAAATGACTGAAATATGTTTCGTCGTGTGAATGAGGTTACCGGAAGCCCAATTACCCTCCCCTTCCCCAATCTCCCCAATTCCTGAATCCCCAACGATCCTCCTAATTCCCAAAAGGCCGGTAACGCACTTGTAACGCCTTTGGTGTTCCAGGTGTCTATGGGCGACGCCGATTTTACCATCAGGTGATCCTTATACCATAAAAAAATTTTAAAAATGGTTGAACCTATTTTGCAAGATTTTTATTGGTAAGTAGCTGATGCACTAAGAAGTAACAAATGATTTTTATTTTGGAAAATGGAAACAAACGACAAAGTAATTTTCTAAAATTCATATTCTACGCAGAGGAAGTCGCAGGAAACAGCTAGTAAATAATATTATTATAAATATTTTGTTTTGCTCGTTTGGTACGCTTACTTAAATACTACGGTTCATGTTATCTTCTTTATACATATAATTCTGTTGTACGTGTGTATGTCGTTGAACTCCTCCTAAACGGCTTGACCGATTTAAATGAATTTTTCAGTACGCGTTTGAGTAGCCCCTGGATGGTATAGCTTCACAAATCAGCCCGGCAGATGGCGCTGCAGTCGTGTCTAGGTTAATTATCCTAAACGTCAGGACTAATTTGAATTAATTTTTGTTTATACATTCAAGTGAATATGCAGGACAATGTCTGTCGGGTCCGCTAGTATAGTTATAAATTGTTGAAGTGGTAATTCTAATCTGTTACCCCTCGAAGAATCTGGTTAGTTTATATATCGAGATAAATATAAAAATGTGTCAACTTTAAAATATGTCATCCTCATCGTCAACAGCATACAAGCGTCCACCACTGAAAGAAGGCAGACAGTGAAGATTAAATCTTCAAATATGTATAACCAATCAATAATAAAAGATTTCCAACAAGAAATAATTTCTGAGATATAATGTAAGTATACGAGAAAAAAAGATGATAACAGAATCCTCCCACCATGTCATCAAATACAAACCACATACAGGACGGAGCACAAAGTAATATTTATACAGCTCTAGCAAGGGATATCAAAACAAACATTGTAGTTAATATCGCCAGAAACCGGACACAAATCCGAAACGATACCAACAGACCAACATCAGCTGATGGAAATAGAAATCGTCGTACAGTCAGACACAGACGATTTTGCAAATATTTTTGGAGACACTTGAAATACATAAATCAATAAAAGAGCTGTTTTCAACGATAATAACGTTGTGCTATGATGTTGATGCAGTTACAATTGGGATGATGACAGGGTATGAAAATTAAAAATATAATTAGTCCGTCAGTTAGGTAATGAAAAAATATTAGAAACGTATTGTTTTATTTTGTCACATAGCAAAACAATGCTTGATTAAACGAATCAAAGTTTAGGAGTGGGAGCTAAAACGTCATTTCTACGTATAAAATATAAATAGAAGTATGACGTCACGCGACATTTCAAATCAATGTATTGTCGAAAGTATTCGTTTCTGTAAGTAAATAAAAAATACGTGTCTAATGATTTAACATAATCTACCAGACGGACATTAAAATAAAAATTAGGCATTTACCTATTATCTATAATCGTATAATTTTCTTTTTTGTAAACGTTTATCTAGTGAGCACAATCAAAGTTTTTAATGACCTATTTAAGTATTAAATGTAAACTTGAATTAAATGAATAAATATAAGAACTATTTATCGACTTTGTTACAATTTAAAGCATAGATTCTTAAGTTGCTCCTTACTAAAAGACCTCATTAAAAGACCCATAGAATCAATCGTAACTGCGTCATAGGTACACTTACGATCGTGACAGTACAAAAATTACTTTCGTGGTACTGAAAGAAAATAATTTGTTCGCCATTCTGTTGATTGATTGGAGATTAATTCTTTTGCGGATCTTACGACGAGGCGTAGGCAGACCACCTACTGCCAGTACATTCTTGTCAATCTTATAAATCTGGGAATGATCACGGAATGTCGATAGTAAGTGTTTAATCACATAAACAAATCAACATGGGCTATGACGCAGGAACTCAATGGTGAACTTGTTCTTTGAGTTTAATGACTGATCAAATTAATTTGCGTGGATGAAGGATGTCTGGTTTCTTTATGTGTGTAGTAAAACAGTCTTTTGAGATATTCTCTTTGCAAATCAGACATTTATATACATAATACTAGCGACCTGCCCCGGCTTCGAACGAGTGTAAATGTACATGTATTATACATATAAACATTTCATAAGAATCACTCTTTTTATTAAAGAAAACCGCATCAAAATCCGTTACGTAGTTTTAAAGATATAAGCATACATAGGGACAGACAGACGGCGGATAGTGACTTTGTTTTATGATATGTAGTGATTTAGCTTGCACCAGTTACATTTTATCTAAGTTTTAGTTTATCATAGGTAAGACTACTAATAAATAACGACTTTAATTCTAAATTTCGTTCTAAATTCGTAAATTCTAAAAGACTGCCTCATTGGCCAAGTGGCCGCAAGTGCGGCTGCCGGGCAAGGGGGTCTCGGGTTTCGATTACCGGGTCGGGCATGTATTATTGGGTTTTAAAAAAAATACCTCAATAATAGCACGGAGTCTGGATATACGCCTGGTATATGGCAATAGGCTTACCCCCTATTACATGAGATTCATAACATAACATAGAGAGAAGTGGGTGTTATATTGTACAGTGGTATTAAGTGCCATAATGCGCACCTCTGCCTACCACTTCGGGGGTAAAAGGTGTGAAGTTATGTTATGTTATGTTATGTCTAAATTTCGTGTAGTTTTGAAGATATTTTTGTAATAGTTGACGCAAATACGAAACTAAATAATATTACTTGTAGCTATATAATAAAGTTCATGTGTGTTGAGCGCTATGTGATTGATATTAACGGTCTGGCGCCTCAGTAGAGACGTGTTTGGTAAATAAACGCTTATATACTCTCCGAGGGTTACAAGAACATTTCAATATAACAATTCCAATTATTATATTGATTGAAACTAACCACCTTCTGTTTACTGACCCGTCAATAAAGTATTATTCTGATGAGTATTCCTTACTTACGTAGATCAAAAGTGAATAATATAATATGTTTCTTTTGTTACCCTTGCTCGCTTAAATGATAAATAGGTTTTGATGAAACTTTTATTAAACTCAAAACTCAATCTCAAAAGCATTTATTTCAATTAAATCATAATTTTGACTATTGAAACGTCAACAAATCTATATATATAAAAATCAATTCCTTTTTCCCTTGCCAGCCACGCTGAATGGCTAGACCGATTTCACTAATTCTTTTTCTTGTATTTGGTATTAGGAGAAGGTTCTTAATACATTTGTTACATAACAAATGTCATCAAAGTCGATACTAATTTATAAACCCCTATTCTGTCTGAATTTAGCGCGCAGAACTACAGACTTGTTAGTCATAACATTGTGCGACTGCACGGTTGGTGCGGTGGGTGGGCAACCGGCTGCCGTGCAACGTGTCGAGGGTTCGATTCCCGCACGGAACAACACTTTGTGTGATCCACGAATTGTTGTTTCGGGTCTGTGTGTCATTGTGTATCTGAACTTGTATGTTTGTAAACGCACCCACGACACAGGAGAAAATCCTAAT